ATTAAGCTCTTAAAACCACAGCTGTAGTGTGCTCAGCACATTTGAAAAATCAAACCATTTATTGGGCCAAACTTCCTTATTTGTCTTGTTAAAGACAGATTTAAGAGATGATTTCAGTATCTCTACTAATTCTGAGTCATCCCTAATTCAACCCTCATTCTCATTAATTAACGGAACTACTTTCTTTCTAACAACTTTTCCCCTCTCCAATATGTTTAAGAAAGCTCTTCTTATTCTCTATTTGGCTAGTTAATAATTCTGTTTGGGTTTTTTTGTTTCCCCCCCCCACCCTAATCTTTTGCTAGCACACCTTAAGAGCGCAAGTATTCTTCTTTGTCTTTCTCTTTTTCCATTTGCAGTCCCTAGTGTCACCACATTGGTTGCATCTTGTTCTTGCATTCTTCTTTTACAGAGGAAGAACAGTGCATTATGCCTTTATTATGGCCTTCTTTAGGAATATTTATCAAAGAACAGGCATTTTACATTTTTATTCTTATAGCACCTAATCTGTATTCTGTTAAGAAAAATTGCTTTGAACATGAATTACACATACAATGCTTTAAATATTATTATTAGTCTTTACAGGATGTTTTGTAACTGATTTTGGCATGCATCCAATATCTTGAAAATTTAAATTTAAATATCCACCATGTCCTGAAGATCTTAGTATTTATATATGTTTTCAGTATTTAAAAGAAAAATAATGCAAACAACTTTCATTACTTTAAAACAGACTATTTAACATTTAACTATTTCATCTTTATTAAAACAAACAAAAACAAAAAAACAGTAGGCAAAAGTCATCTATAGTAGATTCCGTGACATACATTAACAAGAATACAGTTTCTGGTTTCACACTAGTTTAAAATTCTGATAAGTTATAACTACAATTGTCAGTTAAGTGTGACCAGAATCAGGCCTCTATTTGGTCTATTCAGACACAGCCCATTGGATCAAGGAGAACATCAAGGAGGTGTTTACAGTTGCAAATTGTGGTTTGGCAGCATATCTGCTCCTATACTTCTCTAGGGCTTGGAGATGAAAAGTTAACTCACCCCTGCTGGGGTGATTATGAAAGGTACAGCAGTAGGCAGAAAGGACACTCTCTCAATGACTTAATCACCTGCATTCTGCTACAAAGACCTTTTACATCTGCACTTGAAAGAGAATCCTCTGAACTGTCATTCATGTTATAATTCGACACTCTCTGGGAAGGAATGAACAAATACGCAAACTATCTTACCCATTACCAAGATAGCTTCCCCAATTATCACCTCTAATACCATTAGCTCACAGACGTCCCACTCTCCCCACCTCTAATATCATCAATTCACAGACACTTACCTTCCTTCCTCCCCCCCCACATCCCCCTCCTGTTCTGAAATGTGATTTGTCCTTTTCATATGTGTTCCTTTTTTTTAATTGTATCCTTTGGTATATATGGTTGTGACAATTTTCTTCCACTATTTGATCTGAGGAAGTGGGTCTGGCCCACGAAAGCTCATCATCTAATAAACCATCTTGTTAGTCTTTAAAGTGCTACATTGTCCTGCATTTTGCTTCAGCTACCCCAGACTAACACGGCTACATTTCTATCACTATTCTTCCCTGGGTGGTTCTCAACTAGGAAACTCTTTCACCGTGGCCATAGGCAAGGTTGCTGTGTGCTTGGGGGAAGGAGAGAAGAGGAAAGTTAATTTATAGCCGGGACCTGGTGATTTAAAAGGGCCCCGAGGATCCAGGCAGCGTCTGTGGCAGCAGTGGCAGCTGAAACCCTACATAGAGCAGTGCAGGAGGTGCTGAGGACAGGGTAGGTGGGAAAGGTGCAGCACGGTCCCGCTTTCACTGAGAGCTGGTTTTCCCGAGTCCTGCCCCTTCTACCTGAGGCCTTGCCCCAGGGCCTGGCAAAGTCTATCACCAGTTCTGGCCATAGGTCAAAATTATTGAATGCCCATTTTGGAAATCAGACAAGAAGTAAAATAAAGGGATTAACCATCTTCATATTTATTTTCCATCTCCATGTTTATTTCAGTGTTTGATCATTTAAATAAATGTAAGTAAAGAACTCCAGATATTTGCATGCTAGCAAATGACTGCCTTTGTGCGCTGAACTCATGAAATATTTAAACCACAAACTAACACAGCCATGGGCACAGAAGCTTTCATGTGTAATCTTTGTGTTATTTTTAAAAGAAAAAAGAAGGAAAAATCAGTGTAAAATGACAATATGCAGAGATCAAGAAATTCATAATTTAGATAGAGGTTTATGGTGTTAGGATACAATCCTTAATACTTGTGTACACATACAGAAAGTGACTCCTTATAATCACTGTGAAATCATAGCTTTGAATGTGCGGGGACAGAACCTTGGCTTTATTTCTGAGTGATTTTCTGATATGCCAACACAAAGCCTGTGGCCGTGGTATGTCTAAGGAAAAAGACGCACGATCATGGAACTCCTGCATTCTGGCTATGCCAATTAGACCCTGATTGTCAGAATGTTGCCTTGGGGCTATTGGCAGGTGAGTAAAAGTCCAAGCAACCCTAAGGCTTCTCAGTCACTCTGGGGACAAAGCAGCTGCCCTTACTCCCCATTACCAGTTACTAAGTTCTCTAATTAAAAAAAAAAAAATCACGTGAAAAATGCCAATATGGGAAGTAGTCTATAGAGATTCAGTGACTTCGAAAGAACGCGGCTTGAGTCTGGATGCAGGGGAAGTTCTTTCGAAAAAAGGGTACTTTTTTCGAAAGAACCCCTGAGTGTGGACACGGCCTAAGGCTTCTCAGTCACTCTGGGGACAAAGCAGCTGCCCTTACTCCCCATTACCAGTTACTAAGTTCTCTAATTAAAAAAAAAAGAAAAATCATGTGAAAAATGCCAATATGGGAAGTAGTCTATAGAGATTCAGTGACACAGACTGTGCACTAAGTGCTGTCTGATGCATAAAATAAACCAATGGAAGAAATGAGAAAAATAAGTTTTTCTTTTTATCTTCCAGTCATAGCACTCTTTGGTTTCACTTCTAACTAGAGGGCTGCACCCCCTTCTATGCTCGCCAACTCCCCTCTCTGGGGCTAGGCAGCTCTGGCTCTCCCTCCAGCCGCCGGGGAAGGCCAGGTCAAGGCGTGGCATCCCTGGCCTTCCCCAGCTTGGAAGTGGCTGGCCCAGCTCTCTCCATGGCTACCACGAGGGACTGGGGCAAGTCTCTTTCCCCACCCGTCCCTGCTGCCAGGGAGGGTCCTTGGCTGCCCTGGCTCTTACCCCCGTCCTCAGCGCTGAGACCACCCCAGCCCTTGCCCCCCTCACTTCTTTCCACCCAGCCCTGGCTCTTCCTCCATCTCTGGTGGCTGAGAGGGTGGGGGGACTGCTCTGAGGCCTCGCCAGGCCCCACACTCTCTCTCTGGCTGCCAGTGGGAGGGGCACTTCCAGGCCTCACCAGGCCCCCCAAGCTCTCCCCCCGGCTGCTGGGGGAGAGGAGGGGATCCACTTCCCTGCACTCCCCCCAGCTGCTGGGAAAGGGGAAGGCCTCATCATGGCAGCCAAGTACTGGGGAATGGGTAGGGGGAGTAAGGAATTAGTCAGGCAGGATGCAGCGATATGATGAGATCACTCTGTCATCCCAGAGGAAAAGTTTATTGAGAGAGAGAGAGAGAGGTGGTAAATTTGCAGAGTGAAGTCTGATTTTTAGTTGACTGAATCCTTTTCATTATAAACTAGTCATGTTGTATTAATATTGTAGTAAAGCCATATTAAATTGAAGGCTAGTGGAGACTTATTTACTCATTTATATAATTTATAGAAATAAATTTTCAGAACTTTTGATTTACAAATATTGCTATTTTATTTAAACAACTAATTGTCCTACTGTGTCACAATAATTAGTTGTGTCCTGTCATAAATTAGCCCTGATCCCGTTAATGTGTGTGTATATATGTATACATAACTTTACTCACACAAGTAGTCAAATTGAAGTCAGTGGACATGTCAGATGAATACAAGAAAAAGAAATGTGCAGGATCAGGTTCTCAGATTGTAAAGTGTGGACTTTGTCAGTTTAGGAGTTTCCATAGTACCTATGACCATGGAACCCTGATACTGACCGGACTATAGGTTGAACCTCTGGAATCCAGCACCCTCTGGACTTGACTGGTGCCAAACCAGAAAATTTGCCGAACCACAGGAGGTCAGTATTTTCTAGCAACATTGCCAACACTTCCACTGCTTACTAGGCTCTTAGAAAAACTTAAAAAACAACAAATACAGTAATCTAGTAGCACTTAAGGCTAACAAAACATGTAAATGTCTTAGAAGACATTTAGGGGTAAATTAGAGTTAAACAACACAGAACACTGAGAAGCAGGACTGGTGGCTGTGAACAAACTTTGTGGTATCACATGAAACTTGGCAATGCCCATGATAAGTGGACATCTAGTTAACTAAAACCATGCTTTACCGTGGATGTTGCTGGACCAGACAAGTTAAATCTGTACCATCATATAAAATACATTCTAGTTTTTGTATTCTATATTCCCAGTGCTGATTACAGGGCAGCCTATAAGTTTCTTAAATGGCTCAAACTAAAAAATAGAATCTGCTGTATTCTGGAAGACACAGCTTGGTAATTATTACTGAGTCTGAGGGAGGAGATCTATATGAATCTGGTTACATCAGCCCTTCTGTGCTGTATTTAGATATCCTGAATCCTGTCACCAAGGGGTTAAGGAAAGTTGCAACTCATGTTGCAGTGACCAGAAAAAATCATCATAATCTGGAAACAGGAATTGGAAAACAAAGCTACTTTTTCCTGGAACCTCTAGTGAATAGTTGCTACACTTGTCCTAACTAGTTGAACGTACCCCTACTTAGATGTTTTTGTAATTAAACACGATAATAATAAAATAGTGCAAAGAGCAAGAAATCGCCTTGTTTAACAATACTCATGAATCATAGCGTCTAATTGGAGAGAGACAGGAAGCATTTCACATAAATAACTCCTCCCCTCCTTCCTCCTTTGTGGTGCAAACGCTGATCTTCAGAGGAGGAGCTGTGGGTGCTTATGAGCTGAGTTGCCAAGCGAGGCGCTGGCAGGAACTTCTTTGCCATAGTATCTGGGCAAATTATGCTGCGATTCGCACCATGAACTGGCTGTCTGCTTCCCCGGGCGTCGTTTTAACAGCATACCACCCCAGCAGCAACAATGCGGTGGCCGGGAGTAATGCTAAAGAGAGCGAAGAAACGCCCCTGTCAAGGTACGGTACTATGGAAGGGAAACTTCACCTGCTGAGAGAGAACAAGCAATGCCAAAGCAATCTGAGCTGGGGGGAGGGAGACGCTGCTGCTCTTCTGCAGCCTGTTGATGCGCGGCTGCGATTGTGCAGCCTGTTGACGCAAGAATGCTGTCCAAGGGTTCAGTACAAAGGCTCGGGGGTGCAGTCTTTGGGCTGCAGTTCAGAGGGGCAAAGTTCGGAAGACGTCAGAAGTTGTTCTCCGAAAAGAGGTGCAGGGCATGGTTCGGAGAATGACTAGCGTTGGGAACAGGTGCATTTGCAGACACAGGACAGGAGCGCCCACAGGTTGGGAGTCCGGATTGCTTTCAGCAGGTCGAAATACTTTGTCAGCAAAATTACCAGTCTGAACTGGTAAACATAATCTGTAAAGAAAGTTAAGCAACAAAAACTCTCCCTGTGCCCATCCTGGGGATTACCTGACTTTAACTTTTCTGGCTGCAGGAGAGGCTACACATCACCTTTCAATTGGGGGTGTGGTGATGTGAGCGAGACATTGGTTGTGCACAGTCCATGACTGTAGATATATTTTACTACTGTTCATAAGAAAAAGTTTAGATACTAACAAAACAGCTTCTCACTGATTATGTATGTTATTTAGAGGGAGAGTGAGAAACATGTATTCCACAGATTACTGAGGTGTGAATAGGCTCTGTGTACTTTGTTCTTTTTCCGCCTACTGATTTTTTTTTCCCAATGACCGCTGTGCTTAGTGAATTGTTTCCTGATTCATTGTGTGTACTGGAAATAGTAAATATTCACTGCAGCTAAAGGCATAGAGTTGAAATGCCGCTATAACTTAATTAGTACCAATACCTGTATGTGCATTATTTAGAAACACAGCAGCTCCAGTTTTTTGTGCCCCTTCCTTTAGGGTGTGTCTACACTGCACCTGTAGATCAAAATATGCTACACAATTTGAGCTATGCAAATTGCAGATCTTATTTCAAATCAATTTCAAAAATTGCTTATTTTATAATTTGCTGCTGTTTCAAAATAACCCCCTATTCCAAAACGTCCCTTACTCCTTGTGGAACAAGGTTTACAGGGATGTCGGAATAGCATGTCCATTTCATTTCAAAATAATGGGTGCGCTGTTAAGACATAGGATTGCTATTTCGAGATACCTCCGGTATCCCGAATAGTGCTGCAGTGTAAATGTAGCCTTGCTGTCTGAATCAAAGGAGTATTTTGCACATCCAATTTCCATTAGTGCTAGTTGGAATTTTAGAACAACATGTGAAAAGATAAGACCTTTCAAGTCAAGCATTGTACAATGGTTTCATAGACTCTTTATTATTATACAAAAATCAGAGCAGTATGTGGTGAGTGAAAGGATTTTTTTTTTAATTTATTTTTCTCTGCCTGCCCCTAGGAGAAAAATTAGTGCATGGGAAAGGGATCAGATTGACATGTAAACTGATGGCCTCGGATTATGGCACAGAACAAGTTTAGCACACAGGCTGCAGCACTGCAAACTTCTTCACATCTGCTCTTACAAAGATCATCTGTAGAGAAATGAAATAGTGGGAGTAAGAGGACTAGTATCTCCATGGCTCATTCTAAGCATCTACCATTTCTTTATTGAGACTGGGCCAGGTACAGTGGTGAGGTTTATAATATTTGGAGACTTAAGGATAGGGTCTCAGTAAGCTTGGTAGGTGTCCAGCTTTGAATTGGACAGTCCAGTATTTGAGCTTTCTGGTAGGGAAACAAATTGCGAAAATAAAAAAATGTCTGGTGTTTTCTAAATGAGATGTAATGTTAAGTGTGGCAGGGATTTTTGTTGAAACCATCTGGCAACCCCATTTGCCTCCCACCATGAATGGGTTTTATCTGGTTTTCTTCCAAGTAGATAATCCAATCCTTATTTTGTAGACTGTTTGCTTGTGATTAAGTGACATGAAGAGGACACATTTATTTCTACATGCAAAAGGAATCTTTACAGTCATCTGCCATTTTTCCAAATTATGTATATATATATTGTGGATGTATTTGGAGTATACAGTATAAGTATTTTGTGTGATAGCTTAGGATTCCCTAAGTGAGCAGACAGCTACGACCAATACCTAAATGAACTGTTGACCCAGGCTACTAACTTCCATTTTACAAAGTTATGACTAAAATCTAAGGGAAAATATGTTCAGCTCCTGCCTTTGAAAAAAATCTGGTAGAAGAGTTAATTAGCAAATAGATGGAGATAGGAATAATGTTCATCTGCCTTCCAGAATACCTCTTTTCAGAGGACTTCAGAAGGCCATATAAATATTAGATTCTAGCTGGCCTACCGACATGAACCTACCACTACCACTGTAGCAGCTGGAACCCTGGGCCCTTTAAATTGCTGCTGAAGCATGCCACACAGTGCTCCAGGCAGCGCTGAGACCGAGGGTCCAAGCGGTACGGAGGTCTAGCTGCTCTTGGCCCTGCCCCTTCCAAACTAGATGCCACAACTTCTGAGAATGTGGCACTGCCTCTCCTCCCCCCCACCCCTTGCCCAAAGGCCAGGCAAGGCTGTTAACTCCCCCAGATTCTGGTCATATTGACACCAAAAGGATTTTACTATATTGTCTAAACAATGGCTGGTTATGATGTCTTTTGCTCACTGAGGACCTTGATTGAAATGCACACCCATGCAAGATACCAGCTACACAGTGTGTGTACTGCTTATCACACACCCCCCGATTTTAAAAATGGTAGGTTTCATGATTTCAGCTATTTAAATCTAACATTCAGTGGTGTTATAATAGTAGTGGGTCCTGTACCAAAAAAGTAGCGGTGTATGGAGGGTGGGGAGGAAGAGAGACATGAGATTATTGTAGGGAGGGGTGCAGTACTGCTACTTGTACTTCTGCGCTGCTGTTGGTGGCAGCATTGCCTTTTGAGCTGGGTAGCTGGAGCATGGCAGCAGCTAGCCAAAAGCCTAGCTGTGAAGGCAGAGCTACTGCCAACAGTACATAAGCAAGCATGGTATAACATGGCCACCTAACTTCTGCACCACTATCGGCAGAGCTGGGTCATCAGTAGGCAGCTGCCACTCTCTGGCCACGCAGCTCTGAAAGTAGCATAGAAGTAAGGGTGCCCCCTTGACTCCTTTAAAATAGCCTTGCAACCCCATATGTGACAACTCCCCTAAGTTGAGAAACACTCATCTGCTCCCCGATTTCTCAGTACATGATTTTTTTTTAATGGCTGTAAATTTGGTAGGGTCCTAGTTATGAAATTAGGACTAATTTTATACGCTAGCAGCTAAGCCCTACAGTCAAGAGATAGGTGGTTGTTTCATTAGACTACCTGGGCATAATTTGGTTTAACTTTTGAAAGAGTATGGGTTTCTCTTGTGCTCTGCTCATTTGGGCCAGATGGTTACATGAAGGGGGAGGGATAGTTCAGTGGTTTGAGCATTGGTCTGCTAAACCCAGCATTGAGAGTTCAACCCTTCAGGGGGCCACCTAGCAATCTGGGGCAAATCTGTCAGGGACAGTACTTGGTCCTGCTGTGAGGGCAGGGGACTGGACTTGATGACCTCTCAAGGTCCCTCTCAGTTCTATGAGATAGGTATATCTCCATTTATTATTATTATTATACCGCCTTGCTATGCAAGAATCCTCAGGCATCAGTGGGTGGGTGAAGGTACTGTTCAGCATGAGTAAGGCTTGAGAAGTTGGATAAAAATGAAATGAAAATGATCTTCTGCAGAATTTGGTGCCCTAACTCCAGCTTCTGTTTTGTTCTGCAATATACATGCACCAGCTCAGTGTTCCAGCTGCAGTAACATTAGTACTAGTTTAAAAGTCACATTTATTTGGCTTTACTTTGAGTATCTAGCTTGGCAGGTACTTATCTTAAATATGCCTCTTAATGTAATAGTGATAAAAATATTAGGAAGTAACAGTGCAACTCAGCAAGTGGCTAAATGATTTGGGGGATACATGGTTGTATAGTCAATCGCAGCTAACAGTTGATTGTTGTATTAAAACAAACAATGCTTTGGATAAGTAATTGATTCTACATAGTTGGCCACTTTCTCCAGGCGCATTTAAATTGAATTGAGTTATTATACGTTCTCCCTGATAGCGTTTCAAATAAAACTCAGCTCTTGGAAACCTACTTGCAACCTACTGGCCTACTTGAGCAGAAATCACAATGTTGCACTTTCCCATCAAATGAATCCTGGTTTCAAAATGAGCAATACTGGAGCAGTAAACTGACTGTGCTCCAGAGATAATATCAGTGCAAAAATAAAAATAGCCAACCCAGTTCACTTTGTTCTTCAGACATACAAGAAGTCTTCCTTTACAAAATTTAGATCAAAGCCATGCCGATGGATGAAAGATCTAAACCTGTTCCTAGTTAGCAAGCTCTTTCAAGGACTAGACATACAGGAGCATGGTTTTAAGAGACAATCATTTAGAATATGTTTCCAGGTGGTTGCTTTAACATTTCCCAATTCAGCTGTATTTCCTTCAGCCAGGATCTTTCAAATGCTGCTGGAGGCTGAGACACAATATTTGTTTGTCTACATTTGTGTAACCATACCAACTGACAGCATCTCTTCTTTTTATATTTTAAGTAATAGCTCTGGGTGGTTTCTAACACTCATTCAGTTTTATCTCAGCCCCTTTGAGAGAAACAGAGATGGCTGACCCAGTATCAAACTCCAGTTTAACAACTCTGCTCTGTCCACATGAATATTCCCTCTAATCTTTTCCATCCATGTAGAGAACAAAATTCTATGTGCACTGATGCATGTGTTAATGTGCTCCCCAACAAAACCTAGCACTTTGCTAATCAGCTGGGCAGCACTTCAGTCTCTGAGCGGCTTCATAAGCCCACCATTTACATGGAACACTGGTCCACATTCCCTCACTTCCCACAACTCCCACTTTTATCCACAGCTTGGATCCACTATCATTGGATTCATGATCAGCTGATTGCATACACTAAAGAGTTTCTCCCTCCTGCCTCTGTGCCTTTTCACCTGGACTTATTTTATCAAGCATGTCATTTTGGTTTATATTGGGCCAAGAAAGTGAGGTGCTTTGTAGCCAAGTAAGAACAAAGAGGTCCCTGCTCTGAATATCTTACCATTAAAGACCCCAATCTCCGATGTTTATGCAAGTATGTAACTTCAGGCACATGAAGTGTCTGAGTTAAATTACACTAGTTAAAAAAAAACTTAAAAAATTAAGTCCTGAACAGAGCATATACAAAGGCTAGGGAGGAAATAAGAGAGCAAAAATTGTGTGTTCACTGGTGCTGTTTGAAAATAAAATTGTTTAAGCCTAAGAAGCAGGTTAGCTGGTTGGAATGATTTAAATTGTAGCTATTCCTTCTGTGTCTTCTTCCACTCTAGGTCTTAAGTTTTATTATTTTCTTGATTTCGCACTCTTCCTCCCTCCCCCACTCTTGCTTCCAGCCTGGGCTGCCATTCTGTGTTTCTCTGCTCTCATCTCTCTGCAGTCACTCAGCCAGTTTATATTACTCAGCCTTCAAGTGCATCCGCTCCTGCTACCACTGCCCTCTTACACTCCTTCTCCATTGGGAAAGAGCAACTTAAACGTTGTAACTTCCCAAGGTCAGACCTCATTCTTCTTGCCATCCCTGCCATCTCCTAAACCTCCAGCACTTCCACAGAGCAAGGCAATTGTCATGGATCGGTCCTTCTCCTGAGTCTCATGCTACCCTGCTGACTTCTCTTGTGGGAAAGAGGGAGTTAGAGGATCTTTGGGCTGACAGTCTAGTCCTTATTCATTTATCCATTCTTTCCATGTGATATAGTGCTCCCCTTTGACCATCCAATCTCCAAGGTCTAGGCTTTGAAATGAACTTAAGTTTTCAGTGTTGAGATCTGTGGTTAACAAAAATACATGGTTCCACTACTCGAGCTAAAGCACTTAACCCTGTTGGGGATAGCAACAGTAAGCTCTTACCCACTCAGAACCAGCACTAAAGGGAAACACAGAACACTTAGTTAACATGTTATACAAGCACGGTCACAAAGACTTACCTGCTACTTAGAAACAAGTCTGAGAACACTTTGAGTCTGGAAGGTGACAAATTTGGATTATTGATCATCCCATCAGAAGTGGGAGTTTTAATCAAAACCATGACAGATCAGAAAGAACAGCAACCCGCAGACACATTAAAAAGTTTAATCAGCAAAATATTTTAGATATCATAAGAACAAACTTAAGAATTGGCTCAGACCAAAGGTCCGCCTAGCCCTGTATCCTGCCTTCTGACATGGCCAATACCAGTTGTAACTGATAAGCCCAGGTTTATTGGTTAACCATTTAAATGGTTATATTATTACATCCCTAACATTCACCATGCAGATTGTTCTAAAGTCTTGAAACCGGTCTTTCATTATGCATCTATGGGGAGCTCAGCAGTATTTTACACATGCAATTTCATATATGCCGCCTTGTGCTAATTCTCCCACCTCCAGCAAAAACAGAAGATCTATTGAATCAGGGCTAATTTCACTTAACCGTAGTTTTGATGCCTGCAGAGCTGTACATTCACACTTTCCTGCAGGTAGGTATATGCCCTCTTTTATTGGCTCTATCTGCTTTTAGACTACCTAATGTGATGCTCCTTTACAAATTCATCTAAGACTGATGAACAGTTTAAATAACTTTTGTCTAACTTAATAGTTGTGTTTTCCCCACTATCCATGGGAATCTCACCTCACTTATGGCTTGAGCCAAAGCTCACGGACATCACAGTGAATTCTATTCACTTCAGTGAACTTTGAATCAGACCCTTTACAGATGTAAATGAGTAGTAGTTTTATTGGAGTTATCAGTGTGAGATTGGTGGGAGAGGATAACACACACGGGGCCTGGATTACAATATGCAAAAACCACCCTATGCCCTCTTCTGTTTGTCTGGTTGGATGCAGAATATAGGGTCTTACAGACCATTTGATTAAAAGGTGTTTTTATTAGCTATGAAGTACAATATAAGGTGTGCGCTGTTGAAAGTTTATTCAAAAGTGCAGTAATTTTTTTTTTTTTTTTAAAGAACGGTCCAGAGGCCTCTTTGCATCTTAAAGCAAATATTGAAGTTCTGAAAGTTATATATGGTACATTAAAAATGTTGTTTGAGAGAAACTAAATATAACTAGAAGTTCTTTTGAGGAGCGGAATAGTTAACACTTGCTTTTCCTGGTATTAGAATAAGTCTTACTGCCGCTGTCAGCTGGCTGGCATTGCACTCAGTAAGAATTTGCAAGACTGAACTGTTGTCACTGCCAATATTGTTTTCTTTGTATCATGGTTTAACAAAATGAGCTGTGACTAGACAAGTTGGAGCTGAATGTTGTACAGCTTTCAAAACGCTATTTATAGGTGCCCCAGAAACATTTGTAACTTGAACTCGAACACCCTTCTCTATAATTAATGTTTGCACTAGAGTTACTAAATATGTACCTTCACTTTTTTTCTATGAATCAGAATACTACAAGCTGAGCTGAGCTCATAATTACAGTAATTCTGCTACAGAGGAGTTCTTTCCATGAATGGTTTTGAAGGTTCCTGTAGTACATGGCTGACTGTTACTCTGTACTAGTCTGTTAATCTGTTTGAGGCAGGAATGATTCCACTATTGTAAGATTTTGAACAAGATGACAGGCCACATGATGAGTGCTTTTTAAAATGACCCCATCTCTGCTCAGGAATATAGAGCTCAGATTTATTAGTGTGACTTTTTTAAAGTCAGGCCAAATGGAAAGTAGAAATTTTTTGGAGGGGGCAGTGGGAGGGGGGAAGAGAGAATCTAGATGTTAAAAAACCCAAATGCACGCACACACTCAGCAAAACCTGATTTGTTCTATAAAATCAAACAAAAAACCCTACCCCACACGCTTAAGTCATCCTTTCCACGTGTATATTTTTGGCAAGCAAAATTAATTCAGGTGTGGCTATCCCCAGCGAAGGTGGAAGGCTGTGCAATGGAGTTCCTCTGTCTTTCCTGTCTTCTCCCCTAACACAAAACCCATTGAGTTCAATCCCATAGAATTTAAAGACAGGACTCCATGGAGAATTGCAATTCCAAAACAGACCTTAATACCACACCTAAAAAAGGACCTTTATTTTGAGGCAGGTTGGAATGCAAGGAAGGAAGGATAGTCTTGCCATTAAGGCACTGTCCTGGGACTCAGAAGAGCTGCATTCAGTGTTCTCTAAGAACAGTGGGCAGCCACTCAGGAGAGATTCAGGTACCACCCACAGCTGGCAGTATGTGTTTTTAGAGGTGGTGCACATATGCTGTGGTGAACATTTTTTCCACCTATGTGTGGAATAAATTAAGAGGAAGCATTGGTTACAGGCTCTAGAATCTTTAAATATTTAATCTTTGGCTTTTAGTTCTCCTTCTGTAAAGAGGGAATATTACTTCTGATTACCCTTTTTCTGTTAAGCTCCTCTGTGCAGGGACTGACTGAGATCTATACCTATTTGCTCTTGTATAGTCATTGACTTTGTTGATTTGCACATATCATTTTTCTTGTTAATTTTATATGTAGGCTTCCCATTCTGTTTAACAAACTTTCAGATACGTAAACTGCATCCCAGAGATCAGTGTGGTGATCTAACGATTTATAGAAATGCTGATTTCCTGGGAAATCGTGAAGTTTTCTTCATGATAGGAGAGAGATCATCTGAGGACTTTTCCGTGACAGTGCATTGCTACCCACGCTAACTCAGGATTAATGAGGTTTCTCAACAGCACTGCATTTTCCATATGGATGCAAGATAGTTTACTCACAAAAAGTGAGAGGCTGTATAAATAAGTTTTATTCTGTAATTGGTAATTGTTCCATCCTGCAGTATGCAGAATAAATATTTTTGAAGGCAAAAATGTTTGGAATAAAGAGGATAGTTATACCTCATGTTTATGAGAGAGCTAGTTTGGTCTGGGCTGTTTCTAAAATGTTCAAGAAGTTTATTCAAAGCAGATTGTACATGAGATGGCATTACTTTTATATTGCTATGTCTTTCTAAAAGAGTCACATTTACCAGCCTATCATCTGCTTTTTGTCTCCATGGTCTGGGAGGGTAGATTCCATTTTTTTTTGTTTTAGTTGAATTTCAGTACAAGTTCTCTGTCTGTTCAGCATTCAGAACACCTGTTCCTTACTCCAGAGTCTTACCACACTGATAGCCTTTACTCTCTGCCCTGGGTAACTTAGTCTGCCTTAATTTCACAATTTCCCATTTAAAAATAGGACTTGTATGTAAATACTTCACAGGGATGGGGAGAGAATTATTTAATCTTTATGCATTACTTAAGATTTAGGAAATGCTTAAGTCTATTAATATTGACAGGATTAGCTGAGAAGTATCTGTGCAACTGTCAGGTCTGAGGAAGTTTGGAGACAAATTGTTACTGTATTGGATCCATTGTAAGTGTTCTTCACAACATTTGAGTAGAAAAACTGGCTTCAAAGTGCTTGGTTGTTGGCTTACTACTAAGGTCTGGTGTATTTGGGTGACATTTTTCTCATTCCATTGAAGACAGCAATATTGGGAAGAAAGATACTAGATTTCGTAGGATTTTATATAATAATATTGCTGAGAGCTCTGTAGACCTTTGTCTAAATTAGAAAGTAGTGCCAACAAGAATTCTATTGACTGAAATAACTTTGTTGGTGACATTAGGTTAAGTAGCTTCACATTGGACATTTGGGTGGTGCACACACTTAGAGAATGGTGGGCATTTGGGTTTAAAATCCTCACAACACCCTCTGTTGCATCCCATTCTCTGCTGCTTGTGACATGATTTTATTTAATTTCAGTACAAATTTTCAACTCTGTTGCAAACATATCAGTCTTCTCCATTTTAAGTACAGAGCACAGAGTTCTGGTGTACTTACAAAGCTGCAGTGTTCAGTCAGCAGCGGATGAGTGTACATTGAATACAGCGGATTCAATGGTACAGCTCTTCCCAAAACCACACATGATGGAATAGTTTGTTTCATCTAGTCGAATGAGCTGAACCCTGATGCAAGCCTAGGAGGACCAGCAGTGGAACCAGAATTTCTAGATGCGAAAGCATGGTGTGCACCAAACCCAACCCTGCAGTACAGGAACAATAAGACATCTGTACTCAGTGTATAAATGGATGCCAACAGCCTTATGAAAAACAAGACACCATAGATTGACTGCCTCTGACAGAATTTGGCACCAAAAGTAAAAGAACAAAAACAAAACAGTGACCACCTACACTGTTGGGTTTATCAAGGTATTCAAGGCCAAATCACAGAGTCTACTCACCACTAGAGATACCTGTTTTTCTGGCCTCTCTGCAACACAGGCATCTTAGCTCTTTGGCAGAGGAGAGTGCAGCACCTGGAATCTCTCCACCTGTTGTCTCATGATGTGGCCCCTCTTGCTCCAGGAACTATGGCTTCCTGTTCGTGACTTAGCCCTCTGACTAGGTCACCCTGGAAGAGGAGAACCATAGTATCAATGTCTTCCAAAGCAAGTTGTCCCAGGCAGTCCCCTCTCTATTCCATGCCACTTCTTCAGTGGCTGGTAGGGGAACCTGCACTCATCCTCTACTCCAGGTTCCAGCTCAAGAGCTTGTTCATCAAAAACCAAGCTCTGCCTTATCCCATATGCTGCTTTGTCCCTGAGCCTTTTCTACCTTGCTGGATTGCCCACTCAGCATTTGCCAGCCTAAACTCCCTCCTCCTCCATGTTTTTTCAGGCCTGGGTAGATCACTTTGGATTATGTACAGACCTAAATTTTGGTGATCAGAAGAAGGCCATGACACATGGATTTTTAGAAATAGAAGACTTTGACAAGACAGAAACTGGGACCAATGGGCATAATGGAGTTCCTGGACCTCTTGTAATTCTTGGTGACCCTTTATTGTTTTCCAGATGCTTGGCAGGAAGAGTACTGTTACTAGAGCAGGAAGACTGAAATGTGCATCTGGAGGATTGAAGGATAACAGGCAGTCTTGCCAGGAGAGCTCTCATCTCAGCAAGGAAAAAAACCCAATAGCTATTGCTAGGTGTTGTGCATTGTGCTCCACAACTACAGACAATGTGGAGGAGTTCAGCATATAGACTGTCCACAAGCATCCTGAAAGTAGGCTGGTTACTACTGCCATCCCAAATACTGTAGAATTTGTGGCAAGCTCTTCAAGCTTCCTTACAGCGAGAGGAAAAAAAATCCACTGTCCCATTGGCTTGGTACTCTGATGGAGTTATTGAGCAATAGACAAAAGTTATTTTAATGGACATTTTAGGAAGCAATCTTTTGTGATATCCATGACTTATACTTAATTAAGACTATTAAAGAGTAATGTGGCATGGAAGCTATGCAAGCAATATGAATACTTTTCTAGTACTGTAACAGAAAACATGTCTCAAGACTCAAACCACCAACAATTAGTTGACTTTAATAAGCAAAAACTTATTGGATAGTTGACTAGTCGCTTGCCTGCCCCCCTCTTGCTGCCCCTGTCGGAAGCAGCAAGGTGGAGGGGGAGCAGGAGTCGGTGCTGGGGGGAAGCTAGCATAAAAGCCAGTTTCCCCCCAGCATCATCTCTGCAGGAGGTAGCAGGGACCAGTCATGAGACAGCAATCAGCTGTTTCCTGGCTTACGACTGGCCCTAGATTCTGCGCCTCTGCTTTTCAAATGTATTAAGAGCCTACTGGTTAATTGACTAGTTAATTAAACAAAATATAACATCCCTGGGGCATATTTCCATTATCTTCACTCTCCCAGCAACATCCTTACTATGGAAAATAGGGAATAAGACTGAACATGGTTAGCTTTATTTAAAAAAAAATTTCTAAGAAGCGAATACTGAATTTATTCCCACCCGATCCCCAATCCAGTGTCTGGGAACTGCTGCTCTAGAATTGTTACAGGAGTATTTTATACCTCTTATCTGTCAAGACTGCTTACGATGACATAGGCTGGTAAAATCTGCTGGAGGGTGCTTTTCTGAGACTTAACTTACAGTGTTACCACAGTTAAAAGTCCCCTTGTATTAGGAGATGGAATATTTGTATTAATATATTTTCCCCCACGGTGAAGGAAAGCACTTAGGGAGGTTTGCTTAAATTTTTATGTTTAAAGTGATAAGGGACTGAGTAATCACCAGAGGGACAGAAGTCCATGTATTTAGGATAGTCTATACTGTATGTAAAAAATTCAAATTGTTGTTTAAAATATTTTATATGGTTGTCTCGACTCTCGATTGCTCCCCCAGAAACAGAAAAATTCAGATTATAATGAATGTCTGATTTAAATCATGGTTCAGGAACTAAGGTTTCAGTATTGTTTCTTACTATGGTTTGTGTATGCAGGGAGGAAAAAGAGCAAGAACAGGATGTGCTGCTTAAGATTAATCTTCTAGGGTACATATGTATAAGATTAAGTGGCTGCATAAATAGCCAATCTGAAAAGGCCCTGAGTCTGCAATCAGAGCCATGGTAGGCACATACGGAGACAACTGTAAGACTGGGCCCTAAAAATATGGTTGGGTAAGCATCAATCTCCCCTTTATACCAGAGCCTTTCAAATCATGCAAACTAAGTACATATTGATTTATAAGTGTACAAGATCCTAATGCCAGTCTGCAAAGCTAAAGCAGTTTATATTCCGAATAATTTTAATCGAATCCTGTTTGTTGCTTTTTTGTCTACTTAAAAAAACCCAAACAAACTTAAGAGTTTTCAGAGCTGATTGCTGTTTGATTAGGTGCAGCCTAAGTGGAGGTCCTATAGCATTGTTTACAACAGGCACAGAGAACCTAAGGCCCTGGGTCTAGATGTAGCCCATGCCTTGCCTGGATCCAGCCTTCAAGGCTCGGAGCTCCCCTCCAAACCTGCTCCGGAACTCTTCTGCCTGCCCAGACCCCACACTCAAATCCTGCTTCCTGGCAGCCCCCTCCCAAACAGTGAATCCCTCATTTTGGCCCTACTCCTAACCTGGGCTCCCAAGGCTCTCACTTGTAAACCTGCCCCTGCTCCACCCCCATTGATTTTCCTGTGGATCAGTGGCCTAAAATGGTTCCCAACTCCTGGTTTAGAACTTTCTCTCCCTACAGAACCTGTGTATGGTATCCGGCTCCTTAGGATTTAAGAAAAAGACATTTGTACTATATCTAACAACTCAAATTGTTGTTAATCGTACAAAATATTTTAATCAACTCTAAATCACTCCCCCAGATGCAGAAAAGTTCCAAATTATAGTGAGCAGGAAGAGCTGCTTTCTGTGGCTATCCTATTATCTCAGTCAGTACTACTTGACAAAGTTCGTATTTGTACCTGTAAACTCCCCCCCCCTCCCCAGGTTGTGGTGTTTAAACAGGCATCTGGCACAGATTCGGGGCATAGCTCCTACAAAGAAGCAGAATAGTGCATAGGGACAAGTCTCTCTGGGACTGGTACCTTTTTTCTGTGGGCCCTGGAAGTCTATAAAGGATACTAAGCCCCTCCTTGGAGGAGGTTTTTAGGAAAAGTTCCACAAGCTTAGTTTTGTGGAGTTTCTTCGCATATCTTCTACCTACTTGGTTCCTAACTCACTGCTCAATTCATTTTCCTACAGAAGAAAAAAGGACAAACTAAACATCGACAAACTAAACATCTACATGCCACAGGGTACTACAATTCCAGTATCCTCAGCTCACCTAATATTGTTAATCTATCCAACCTCACATTTAGACCAGCAGAAAAATCTTTCCTATCTTGGGGACTCTTTCTGCCCTCTCTCCCTACATGATACAGTTCTGTGGTGACCTGAAAGCCTCTTTTCACCACCTCCAACTGAAGGAATTTTTCCAACAAACCACTAAATGTTGCACTGACCCTCAAGATGTCCCTACCAACCCTACAAGAAGATTTCTACATGGTCTTAGGTGATAGTCTGGACTTCTACACCGATTGCTTCTGCAAACGTGCACAGGCTGACATTGCGAATACATCATCATGACAATCTCATCCTCAGAAACAACTCTGATAAAGGGAGTGTTGTAGTCATCATGAAAAGGTCAGATTACAAATAGGAGGCTGCCAGAAAAATCAGCAGCCCCACATTCTACAGGCTTTTTTCCTCTGATCACACAGAGAAATACCAAAAAAACTACACCATCTGCTCAAGAAACTCCCTGCTAAAGCTTAGGACCAAATCCACACAAACACAGCCTCACATCTCCAACCAGGAGTATTCAGCTACTGAAGATCCATAGTCTTGGAAATCCTGGATATCCTATTATCTCAGGCATTGGCACCCCAAGAGAAGGATTATCCAGCTAGCATGACTTCTCCTCAGACCCTATGCTTCCAGCACTCTTTGCTATCTGCAAGATACCACTGACTTCCTGAGGAAGCTACAGAATAACAGTAATCATCCTGAAAAGACCATTCTGGCCACCATGGATGTAGAAGCTTTACACCAACATTCCACAAGATGATTATTAGCTGTCAGGAACCCTATCCCTGACGATTCCACTTCACACATGGCAACTGAGCTATGTGACTTTGTCCTCACCCAATTTGGGAACAATTTATATCTTCAAGTCAGCGGTACAGCGATGGGCACCTGTATGGCTCCACATATGCCAACATTTTTGTGGATGACTTTGAACATTTCCTCAGCTCTTGTCTCCTAGCATACTTCCTCTATTTATGCTACATTGATGACATCAATGGGACCCATGGGAAGGAGACCCTTGAATACCATGCATTTCGTACTTTCGCTGCAAAATTTCCTACATATAGGGAAGGATACAGATCTTAGTGTGTATAATATAGATACATCTTATATATTCTTGTAAATTTATCTTAATCCTTCTAGAAGAGGAATTGACCTTTACATAATTTTGTAATTTACATCGTTGAGGTCAAAGTGCAATTTGGTGTGCTAAAGACACAATCAACACTTAGCTGCTGGCAAAGGTCAATGTTGACTGTAGTTTTGAGACAGCTAGGTTACTAAATCATGCTGTTATATATTTTTCCATAAACCTTTGACCTTTTACATTTTGGCAACTAAAGATGTTCTTTGGTTTCATTCTTTCAAGAAATAAAACCCCAGAAACCAGGGATAAAGTCCTGGCCTCACTGATGCCAGTGGGAATTTGATTAGTTTTAAGGGGATACCATGGGATTATGTACAGCACACTGATGATTTAGTTCTGCTTTAGGAGCATGTTTACTTTTCCTCGGAATGAGGGAACATTTTTGGGATTGGTTGAGCCTCTCTACATGTTTATATGAGTTAATCTCTTATTTTGAGTCTAAACTTCTTTTGTGTTTACTTTTCATTTTTTTTTCTGATTCAAACTTCCAAAGTGAGGATCAGGAAAAAGGTCACTTTGTTAAACTGTGTAAATTATAGAAAATAAAAATTAGATCTTAACTTTAAACTCCTTATTTTGGTATTTTGAGCCAGCATGACAGATCCTGATGTGATACTTAGTCA